AAACACCACAAGCTTCAGTAGGCCTATGTGTAGTAAATGAAACCGCATGTCTGCATCATTAATTTCCACGTGGGGGGGGGGGAAATTAAATTTCAGGCCAGGAAATCTCACATTCATACACCCACAACAAATTCTGAAACATGGACAACCCTATTTTTTGTACGGACCTCACATAAAAAAGGTTTAAATCCTCAGGTTGGGGACATGCAAAATAATTAAAAGTTCTCTCCTGAACTTTATTTTCTCTTTATTTTGCCCTGATATCTATTTCTCACATGACTTTAATACTCAAGATTTAACAAAACTATACTTTCTAAATTGCCTACATGTCAAAATTAGTACATCACTACAAAATCTTTATAGAAAAATCCTAATACTGAACATGAGTCATGTTTTCCCCTTACAAAAATTAACCATGCTTTTATTATAGTAAAAATTTTTTGGCAAATGGATTACCATTTGTATTTATTTTTACTACAAATTCCATGGTAAAAATGTATTAAAATGATTAAAAATAGTAACCATTGTCTTTGGATTTATAGTAAAATCATCATTAATTTTCGTAAGGGTTGTGTTGTTGTCTGCCCTAGCTCCCCCTAAACCTATTATAAAATATGATGATTTGTCTGCTGAATTACTACTATAAAATTACAATAGATAATAATGATGTCTTTTATACAGTATTTTGAGTGATGACTGAGGAGCAATGGGCTGCTGCTGCTTAACTAAGTAAACAAAACAACAATAGCATGTTTACAGATGAAACTGACCTGCACTTGAAACCCTGAACAGTAGGCCTAGTTTAGCTTCTATGCTCCTCCATCTGTGCGCTTCCACAGTCTTCTCCATTCTCTCTCTCACATTGATTACTCTGATCCAAACCGTTTGGCGGAGAGTGCGCCAGCCAAAGCATTGCCAGTCACGACTAACCGATTCATGGTGAGCGTGATTTCACCAAGTACAACATGTTCCTGGATCAACATCCTTGTTGATCCTGGAACAACATTCCAATCAACCAATCAGAATAGAGATATAACTCTTCAGGAAATGTCAGTTTTAGGCTTACAGTCAGGATTAGGTGCTTCTACACTCTTGTTAATGAGCTATCATTTCCCACTGATTTTAGAAATAAATTATGGGTAGGGTTAGGTTTAGGGGTAGGGATTGGGTTAAGTCTATATTTTTGGACATTAATGTTGATCCAGGACCATCAAAAGATCCAGGAACATGTCTTACACTCTAAAAAATGCTGGGTTGTTTCAATCCAATTTTGGGTCAAATATGGACTAACCCAGCTGTTGGGTTA